TAGTAGATTCAAGTGGAATAGATTATTTTCTCTAAATCTTAAAACATTGATGCAAAGTGTTTGAAGGCTAATGTGCAAGATGAATCATGGTGTTGGCACATGCGATTTGGGCACTTGAATTTTGAAGCGCTCAAAACAATGGGAGAAACGAACATGGTGCATGGGATACCATCAATCAACCATCCCAATCAATTGTGTGAAGCTTGTCTTCTTGGAAAACATGCAAGGAGGAGTTTTTCAAAGGAGGCCATGTCAAGATCAACCAAGCCGCTCCAGCTTGTTCACACTGATGTGTGTGGACCAATCAATCCACCTTCTTTTGGTAAAAGTAGATACTTTCTGCTTTTCATTGATGATTTTAGTAGAAAGACTTGGGTTTATTTCTTGAACCAAAAATCTGAAGCTTTTGCTGCTTTTAAAAATTTCAAAGTACTTGTGGAGAAAGAAAATGGCTATGAAATTAAAGCTCTAAGGTCCGATAGAGGAGGCGAATTCACTTCAAACGAATTTAATGACTTTTGTCAGTCTCATGGAATTCGTCGCCCTCTAACGGTACCTTATTCACCCCCAACAAAATGGAGTTGCAGAGAGGAAGAATCGAACGATTCTTAATATGGCTCGATGTATGTTGAAAGCTAAAAGTATGCCCAAGGAATTTTGGGCCGAAGCTGTTTCTTGTGCAGTTTATTTGAACAACAGGTCTCCAACAAGAAATGTTAGAGATCAAACCCCTCAAGAAGCATGGAGTGGAAGAAAGCCAAGTGTCAAACATTTGAGAATCTTTGGAAGCATAGCCTATGCTCATGTGCCACATCAAGGGAGAGCAAAGCTTGACGATCGAAGTGTCAAGCATGTGTTTGTTGGCTATGATACGAGTTCAAAAGGCTACAAGTTATACAACCCAAGCAGCGGTAAGGTGGTGGTAAGTCGCGATGTTGAACTTGATGAAGAATTGGCATGGGATTGGGAAGCTCAGGAAGAAACTTCATATGATTTTCTTCCATATTTTGGTGATGAAGAAGAACCAGAGACCGTGGAACCTGTGCAGGATACAACTCCACCTCCTTCTCCAACCAATGTTGTATCTCCCTCTTCTCAAGAAAGTTCGAATGAACAGCCGCAAAGGACAAGGAGCATTCAAGAGCTCTATGAGGACACAGAAGAAGTTACTAATTTTGATTTTTTATGTTGTCTCTTTGCTGACAGTGAACCAATGTACTTTGATGAAGCTGTTACAAACAAAAAGTGGAGACAAGCCATGGAGGAGGAGATTGAGTCAATAGAGAAGAACAACACTTGGGAGTTAACAACTCTTCCCAAGGGTCATCGAACAATTGGAGTGAAATGGGTATACAAAATAAAGAAGAATGCTAATGGAGATGTGGAGAAATACAAGGCACGACTTGTGGCTAAAGGCTACAAGCAAAGGCAAGGCATTGACTATGAAGAGGTCTATGCACCTGTTGCCCGCATGGAGACGATTCGTTTGCTGATCTCTTTGGCAGCGCAAATAAAGTGGAAGATCCATC